TTAGATAGGTAAAAGTAGTTAACTAGTAGGTTTTAATAAAGCTTAATCTATATTAAATTAGTCTAAAAGATAGAGCTATATATAAAGAGGTATAACTAAAAAATACTAGTAGCTTTAGTTTAATACTCTTAATATTATTAAAGAAGTTAGTATTCTTAATAGCTTTCTTAAGAGAGGGAAACTTAGCTATCTTATTATTAATATCCTTATTAGACTAATAGTAAAAATCTTAATAAAGGGTAGTATAGACGTTAAAAGTAATAGATTTACTATCTTATATAATATAGACCTTATTAGTAATAAGGAAGTCCCTAAATTCCTTTATAGTAGCCTTATTATAGTAGTTAAAAGTAGATTCTAATATATCTTTAAAATTAGTAAAAGCTTAACCTTAAAGAGCAAAATTAGTAAGGTTATTAAGTTAGTAATACTCTATATTAAATAAGAAGTATAAAGCTACTTAACCTTAAGTAGTAATATTTAATTTTATATTAATATCGCTAAGCTTACTCTAAATACTATAGTTAATTATACTATAAACTCTAATAAGGATAGAGATAAAGTAGTTATTAGCTAGAAGTACTAGAGGGGCTAGGGGAGCTAGAGGGTTACTTAGAAAGTTTCCTAGAGGAGCTATAGTAGATAATTTAGATATAATTAAAGAGACTTAATAATAGTTATTTAAGAAGTTATATAGGTTATTAAAAGTATAAAGAGGTAGGTATTAATATTCCTAATAGAGCAAAGTACTAAGTTAAATTATAAGTAAGGATTACTATACTATAATTATAAAGAGCTTACTAGGTATTATAGTAGCTAAGGCTTATTTATTTAGTAGATAATTTACTACTTTATTACTCTTACTTAACTTAATATAGCTTAATAGTAGTTAAAAATAGAGGTATAAAAGTTAAGAAGGATCTCTATAATAGACTAAAAGTTAGTTAACTATATAGAAAAGAGTACTAAGGATAAGTATTAATAAGAGGGTAGGTAGGTTTAATAAGTAATATTATTAATAAAGTAGTAGAGTTCTAAAGATAAAGAGATAATATAGTAGTATTATAGAAGAAGTAAAAAAGCTATATAATAGTATTATAGAAGGAGCGTAGGTTATTAAGGGTAAAAGATAGTAAAAAATTCTCTTATAGCTAATAGTTAGTAGTTAGCATTTAGTAGTTAAATAATAGGAAAATCTTATAGTAGGATATACTATACGCTATATATATAAGTAGTTATTATTAAATAAGCTTAAAGTAGCTATTTACTATTAATATTAACTTAGTGAAGAAGAAGGTAGTTAAAAGCTATTAAAAGCAGGGTAATCTCTTATTTACTTATTTAGCGTGAAAACTCTGCTTATAAGGGGTAGGAGGCTGAGTAAAGTAGTTAAGAGTAAGTTAATAGGTTAATATTAACGTTAAGGGTTAGGCGTATAGTAGACGCTTTTTAAGTAGGAAGTAGGAGTAGTTACTAAGAGCATTCTAAGTGAAACAGACTATCTCTTAAGTTATATTATAACTACTTCTATTAAGTATAAGATTAGAGGCTATAAGGGTTATTATTACGATCCTACTATTATTAATACTATAAGGAGATATTACTTAATCTTATTAGCGCTAGTAACGTTAATATTAATATACTCTTCTTAGAGATTAGAGGAGGGTAAGTTTAAAGTAGCTTAAGCGAAATAGGCTATCTTTTCGAAGTTATAACTACTTTAGTAGTATAAGTTAATTAATTAAGCGTTTCTAAGCAGAATAGATCTAAATAAATATTAATAAGACTACCTCTTCTAAAGCCTTATTAATCTATAGTTAATTAATATATTATATAGTAGTAACTATAAAGTTAACTACTAATTAGTATTAGTCTTATAGGACTAGCTAGCTAGTAGGGCATTATAGGTAGTAAATATTATATTATATTAACTATATTAGTAGTAGTGTGTATGAGGTTAACTGCGTTAGAGGTAGTAGCTGCAATTATAGTGTTAATTATAGAGGCTAGTGCCTTATATAATTACTGATTACGTAAGGTGCGCCTAGCTTAATTAACGCTGTGATAGGCTAGCGTTACTAATAGTAATAATAAAAAGAGGGTTTTATTTATAAAAAGTAGTAAATCGCTTAAGTTTACTATTTAGTATTTATATTTAAGCTAGAAAGCTTAGTTTTAAAGCTAAAAAGATAGGGATATAAGTTAGAATAGCTTTATAATCTACCCTAAAGTGAAAAATAAAATTTATTTTTATTAAGGTAAGTAAAATATTAGATTAAGATAGATCTATAGTATAGCTAGTATTATATATTAATACTCTAAGCTTATTTAGAAGGGAAAAACTATTCTAATTTACTTAAGTTTTAATTTTTAAGCTATTATTAATAATTCTCATACTAAAAGCTTAAGAGAGGTCTATAGTATTCTAATTACTACTAATAAAGAAGTAAGAAGGGATAGAGTACTAAAAAATATAAATAATAATATTATTATTTACTATATTAAGCTTATATATATTTAGAATAGTTATACTTTAAATTTATACTTAAATAAAGTTATAAGTTTTATAAAGCTAAGTCTAAATAGCTTTTAAGTTTTTCCTAATATATATAATTACTTAAGAAATAGTATTTAAGTTATAATATTCTTAAGTATTAATAAAGTAGAATATTTTATAGAAAAGGTAGTTTATAAAGAATAGTTTTCCTTTTTTTTTATTAGTATAAAGTTCTTATATTAAGACTATATTAATATGCTTCTTAGTATAGCTTTATAGTAATATATAATTTATAGAGTTTTTATACTTAATATTATACTATATAATATATAAACCTCTAGCGTAGTATCTTTAAGTTTACTTAAAGTGAGATATTATCCTTAAAGGGGGGGATTTACTATATATTATTATAATAACCTAATTCCTTAGAGTATAAAGTAGTACTATAAATAGAGCTATAAAGAGGGTAAGAAGTAGAAGCTTATAAAGTTATAAGTTTTTAAGGTTTAAAGAGGTTAAGCTATAATAAGCTACTATTTTTTAGGCTTTCTTTAAAAGCTTCTTATTTTATATCCTTCTAATAAATTATAGTATAAGTAATACTACTAAACTTAATAATATAAGCTTATTTCTAATAAGATTAAGAGGTAAGAGGTATATTTAGTATTTTAGTTTTAGTATCTTTAAGCTTAAAATTTTCTAAAAATAAGTTTAAAATAAAGAAGTTATCCTCTATAATAATTTAAGTAGTATTAGCTATTTTATAGTTAGATAGTATTATATTATTAGTAATAATTATTAATTAAGCTATTTTAAGCTAAGCTAGGGAAGTAGGAATACTTAAAAGTAGGTTATAAAAAGAATTATTAAGCTTAAGTATAAATAATATACTATAAGTAGCTTATTAAACTTTTTATAATTAGCACTTTAAAGGTATAACTTAAATACTATCTTTTAGAATAAAGTAAATAATATAGTTACTATAGTTTATAGAGAAAGCGTTATAATAATTTAAGTATTTAGGGTTATTTAGGTAGGTTAAAGCTATATTAATACTAATATAATTAGTTTAACTATACTAGCTATAATAGTAAGATCTAATATAGAAATAACTAATATAATACTTTTAGTACTTATTAAAATAAAATATAAGTACCTATTTCTTCTCTAATAAGAAGTAAATATAAGTAGATTTATAGAAAAAGCGCTATTTAGTGCTTTTATAAGGTTAAAATAGTATAATAATCTAAGATTAAGTTTAAGTAATAAGGTTTATACTTTTTTATATTAAGTAGGTTTATACTAAGTATAGCTCTATATATTTATAAATATTAATTTTAACTATTTTTTTAGTAACTATAATAGTAAAGTTATTTAAATACTTAGAGATTTCTATAAGTATATAGTTAATAAAGTATTTATACTATTTCTAAGAGAGATTAAAAAATTAAGTACTTATAGTTTTATAAATCTCTTTTACTTATTTAAGAAAAGCTTTCTTTATAGAAGTAAAATATAAAATAATAATATAGCTTAAGATAGTATATAAAATATAAATAATATCTACTAATAAGATATTTAAAGCTTTAGTAATTCTATTTTAGAAAGTATATAATAAAGCTTTATAAGTTTATACTGAGATTTTAAAAGCTTATAAAAGTAGATAGTAGTTTATAATAAGTTTTAGTAAGGTATAAAGCTTCTAAATACTATATAATTAAACTAAGCTAGTTACTATATTTTATTTAATAAAGAGTATTTTAGAAGGAGATATAATATTATTTTAGCTTTAAAGAGAAGTTTTTATAGCTATATTACTTTAAGAGAGCTTAAAAATAACTATTTACTAAATATAAGTAATAAATTTCTATATAATACTACTAAATACTTTCTATAGTTATCCCCTATAGGTTTTTATTAACTAGTTTAAATATACTATAATTATTTAATAAGTTTATTAATAAGTATTAAATAGATAGAATAACTTTTATACTTTAGTAGTAATTATTATATGTTCTATTTTTTTAAAGCTATTAAGAGGTAATAATTCTACTATAGTAGGTGCTTAGGAGTATAGATATAATAGCTTAGTAGAGGTAAGAGGAGGGGAAAGGTTCTAAACTAATAATTTAAGCCTAAGTTAGGCACTTATAGTACTTACACGTAGCTATAAAGCTATTATAATAAGTGATTAAGGGTGTTAATAGTATGTTTTATGTGCGTTAAGGTTCTAGTGTAGTGCGCTGTAGCCTGCTAATAGCAGGTCGCAGTAAAAAGTGTGGAGGAGGGAAGTTGACTGGGTGTTCAACTGCATTACTAGTTGCATTGGGAAGTTGTTCTGAGGAGTAAATACCGTCCCATTTAGCGAAACTGACTTCATTGCCCACCTGCGGTAAGATTAAGTGAATCCTGGAGGGAAACATAAAGTTCTTTGTCTAACAACTTCCTACCCCACAGCGTGTTCCTCTGCAATATATCAGTCTTGAATAATCCCTTTCTATTCATGATCGACAAGAAGGCGCTCATCACTCGCGAGTTCGTCCGCGGACGCCTCTAAGGTGTGGGCCCAGGAAGCCAGACAGAACCCGACGATACCACCGACTTCCTCCGCCGTCTCAGGAACCTCTGCGAATCTCACGGCGCCGGGCCAAACAGGTGGAACGACCACCAGCTCCTCCTAATCTCCGGTCTAGGCCCCAATCTCACCGCCGCCGTGACCTGGATGCTCAATCACCTCCTCGAGGGCGACGGCCATCTCGCCACCTCCATCCACATGGAGGCCGAGAGCTTCGTGGAGAAAAGCGACGAGGAGATCGACCTCTGCCGCGTTTTCGATGAGTCCCGCTTCTGCAGGCCACGTGGTACGAGGTTCTCCGCTTCTACGTCACTTTCACTCTGGGCCGGCACGTTCACGACGAGGGCGACGCAGTCATCCCGAGCGGGTACACTCTGGAGCGTGGCGCATTCGTTCTGACGCCGCTGCGACTGCATCACTTCTATCGGGTCGTCTGGGGCGAGGACTCGGAGGGATTCGACCCGAAATTCAAATTCCACAGGGCATCGCTTACGGACTGTTCGATACCATTTGTCGTGGAACCGGACTCCAGGGTAGCTACTGTCACATGTTGCCTGATGACTATGGCCATCCCATCAACAGAATTACCACCTATCCTGCTCTCTTCTGGCTGCATGGGGGAATGAGAAGGGCGAGCGAAGGATTCGGAGCTGCATGGTTGTACAAGGAGGCCATGAGAGCCGGCCGCATGACACAAAATATTTTGATCATGCCTCAGGCTCTTCCAGTGGGCTGGTAAATCAACTCTCTGGACCGAAAATACCCCATAGAGGATGTCTTGATGAACGATTTGCTCCCGCATGTTGGTGCTACATTTCACACAAACGACAAAAGGGGGGTTTAAGGCTTCTCCATGGGAGGATATGGTGCTCTGCATCTAGCATTCAAGTTCCCCGAGCAGTTTAGAGGCGTGCCTGCAATTGGTCCTGCCGTTTTGAGGTCTCTTGCCGAGGAGCCAAGGGAGCGTGTGTGGGACACTTTACAAGGTGATCAGAAGTACTACAACCTGAGTCCCCCAATTCACCTGCTGAAAGAAAAGTCTCAAGCTATTCAATCTGCACCATTACATATCCGCTTGCTTGTAGGCTCTGATGACACAAGACTTGTCGAAGCTGTCAAGTCCCTAGCTGATTCCCTGCAAAGGTGTGGCATCCTATAGAGCAACATTTGCGTAAATCACATTGGCCACGACTATGTCGCTGTTAGGGAGGTTGTGCAACCTGAGACGTACACTTTCTGGGATGAGTGCTTAAGGCCTTACACAGCTAAGGAAGCAGTGGTATCAGTTTAAGCGTGACGTCACATCGGAATAGATGAAGAAATTTTACATGCATGATTTTGATAGATTTATTCAGACTCGCTGCGGAACATATCTGCTTGCATCATCGATGGTCAATATACCGTCATGGAGGGCCAGATCCTCTTGGCAACGGAAGAATGAGACTGCGCGAATTCTGTCAGAGAAAAGGGTCGGTCTACTAAAGAATCAAATTAACATATCGGACCAGACGAAGTCAGACTTGAGCAGTTTGCATAATCATATTCAAAGTCCATCAAGATGACCTCGGCCTTGAATAAGTCTGCTTGGCATGCATGTACCGCTAGGCGTGATTTTGCTAGTGGTAGTGAATATGGATGGGAGCGAGAAGCTGAGAATACCACTCATGTCAGTCATGACAGGCGTGGCCGTGGATTTTCCAGTTCAGAAACGAAAAAAGCTTTCGAAGCTGCCCTCTACGAAAGCTGCGTTTCACTGATTAAGGGGGTATTCTATTTATGTAGCCTTCTCAAGGGCGTCGTAACTATCATACATCTGAACTATGTCGTGATCAACATCATATACAACCTGAACCCACAAGTATCCTTGAAAACTCATATGAAGCCGATGCCCGCGTCATCTACTCGTCTGTCTCGGTCTGCTTGACACCGTCGTGTGTCAGAATTGGCTGATCGCGGTCCAGATCATACATTTTGTCCTCCTCGGCGTCGTAGTGGCGGAAAGTGAAGTAGAATACAAATCCAATAACGAAAGAGAAGCAAGCAACTCCCGTGTACATCCACAAAAACTTGGGGTCAACCGCGACGGACACCAGGGCCTCGGAGATGGCGGAGCCGAAAGCATTGGTGAACAGATAGATGCTCTGAACGAAAGATTTCATGTTGGGCGGCGCTTTGGTGTAGGCATACTCGAGACCGGTAACCGAAATGAAGATTTCAGACAACCCAATGAACACATACGCCGGGGTCTGGACGGCGATATGAACATGGTTAGGCAGAGAAGCGCCATTGCTCAATCCTTCGGGACAGGCACCCGGAGCTTCGTAGCACGGGCCGGCCTTGTAAATAAGATGTTGGACAATGGCTGCATATGCGAGGCAGAGAGCACCGAGCCAAAAGCCAATCGTGATACGCATAATGGGCTTCAGCTCAATGCCAGCCTTGCGCAGGAGCGGATAGACGACTTTGTCGAGAATTGGGGTGAAGACCAAAATGGAGATGGGGTCGAAGTTTTGCATGAAGTCGTTCGGCATCCCATGGCCCTCCATCTGCCCGGCTTGAGTGACGAAGTTGGTCGAGAACTGGCCGTAGCAGACCCAGAAGATGGGGTAGAAGACAAAGACCTTGCAAGCTCTGAGTGCTCTCTTGAGCTCGTCGACAAAATGATCATTCCATGGGACGGGCTTGTCCTTGCCATTAGCTGCACGCCATGATGGTTTCGCGGCATCCATGTTGCGCGAGGCAATCATCAAGCCGAGAGCCTTGAAGGCATCAGTGATGACAGATCCTTGAGGCGGGCGGTTGACGTAAGTCTTGCGACGCAGCACCAGAGTAGCGATGCCGACGTTGAAGACACAAAAGCACATCAGGTATGCTGTCCAAAATCCCTTGTATTTCTCCATGAAGGGCGTTGCCATCAAAGAAAGCGATCCGAGGTTGATACACCAGTAGAAGATCATGTAAATGCGCTGGTACGTGACGGCTGGATCGATAATGACTCGCTCGCCGGTCTTCTCCGTCTTGACAGCCATGACACGACGTTGGTACTGATCGGCAATCAAGGGCGCGATGTTCGACTTGATACCGCCGGTGCCCAGACCGATGACAATAATTGCAACGATGTAACCGGGTTTGCCAGCGCCATTAGCCATGGCGACTGGGAGCGATGTCGTCCAGAGAATGACAAGACCAACCCAGTAAAAGGCGCAAAAGACCAGAATGGTCTTGTACTTACCCAAGTACTGGTCAGCAATGATGGCTCCGAGAATAGGAGTGACTAGACGTCTTTGTTAATACTTCTTCTTTGCTCATGAATTCGTATGAGTATTCCACATACCGTAGCAAAACCACTGGAAGAACAGGTTCAGTCCTGTCGCAGCCTGGTGACCCATTCCGAGACCCTTCGGGCCATCGACTCCATTGGCGTCATTGCTGATGTAGTTCTGGAAAAGACCCTGCGCACCATAGTAGGTGAAGCGCTCCGTGAGCTCAACAACGGCGATCAGGAATGCGGAGGCGGGGAGGCTTTCTCCAACACGGCGCAAAGTGCCCCTCTCGTACTCGTTGGGCTCGGCTCCGTCAGGAGTTGGGCCAGACTCGGCATCCTTCTCAGACACGGGCTCCTTCTTCTCGATATCGTGCGCCACACGCTCGCCGAACGTCTCGTGGAGCCTGCACAGAAACAGTCAGTACTGCGTCAGAGAGCCGACGATATGCGCAATGTTACGTACTCGGCCACGGTATCCTCGTGGTTCTGGGCCATTTTTACGCAATTCGAAAGGTTAGACCCGAAGCATGAGGTGAACCAGAGGTGACTCGGTGTGAGGAAGAAGACAAGAAGAAAATTTCCAGAAGAGATCCAAGAGCAGCTTTTGGCCAGTGGGGAGGATGGAGACTCATTAGTATCTACACTAATCACTAATAATGCCCTTACCCTCGGGCGACTCCGACGTCTTCGAGGCGATATCTTGTTCCGCCTGCGAAAAGTTTTGCCCGACTTGGATGCTCGCCCCAGGAACTTTTGCGAAGACGCGCCACAAACCGAACACCGACACAGGTGCCGGACTCCACTCGGCCGAGTGAGCCGATCCTTTTGTGTGGTAATAACGGACACATCGGGTGGTTTACGAGGAATTTAGTGGACTGCTTGGCAAAAGGGCCGAAACGGGTGGCGCCAAGCGAGGTTAAGGGGAATAAGGCGGCCTTGGATTGCACTCTCTGATTGGACTACGCGCATTTTCCAACATTAGTCAATGCATCTGGTGCCGAGGTCGAAAGGGCGAAGATACTGAATCCGGGGTTTGGGGGACTTTTCACCACGTTACTCCGCAAACGCCACGAGATGCAGACCAACGGGCGGCGGTAGGTTTGGTGCAGGAGCGGTTGAGGCTGTCCAATTACTACGTAGCAGTCGCACCCGAGATTATGTATCGTCAATTCCAAGGGCTGCGACCTTCCCGTCTTGGCGAAGATTGGCAATGCTTGAAAGTCCATCGCCAAGCTACGGGTGGTAAGCCGCATGCTTAGCATCTTCGTTATCCGAATTGTCGAGGACATGATTCGAGGACACGACGTCATGGACTGTCAAAGGAACATTGTCGGGCGCTGTAGCATGCCGCACAGGTCATTAAAATGCTACCTTCGGCGTCGCCTAGTCTCTGTCTGCGAGTCTGCTGAGTGAGACTGGGAGAATCGTATGCTCTCTCTCGCCCGGTGTGGTTCATCAGTCCACTGCCACAGCAATCGAGGACGAGCTCTACTATGGGCCTCGTCAAAAGTTCTTGCATGCACTTGTGGGCCAGCGAGCAGCAGAGGGTCCTTGCATGACAGTCGGAAATTCGGCTGTGGGTGGTGTGGTGGGCCTCGCGCGCGAACGCCCAACTAACCGCGTCTGGCTCGCGGGAACGTATCTTCCATAACACCGAAGACTCAAGCTTCTAGAAGCTTTACCAGTCGATCATGTAACCGCGAACGTTGGTCGGATGCGCATAAGCACATAAGCTCGGTGGTCTTCCGGAGAAAGCCTTCCAGAACAGATCTGATCGGACTTTTCGAGCATGGGCATTCCCGAGCAATGGCATCGTCCCTTACTGCTGTGCTGAAAGACGCGATGTTTGCTACGCACACATGGAGCGGCTCGGCTTGGTGATATGTTGACTTGGGGAACTGGGCCGTAGCCCGCGCCCCGTCAACTTTGAGCGGCAAGATCGTAACACACAGACGGGGAAATTGAAAATAGAAATTGAGGAATCGATTTTCGACATCGCTGGATGAAAGGACATGGAGACTGTCATACGCCACGTGCTTTTAGTCTAAACTGTGGACGGGTCCGTTCATGCGAGCATCCAGACTGCAGGCGGGGCAAATGGATAAAGACGCATCGGCCACGTTGAAGACCCTTT